ACAAATCTTCTGCACTAGTAATATTATCAGGAAGCTGTCACAAATGATGATCAACTTCATTTCACAAATGTTTAATGGGTTTAAGTCTGGTGATTGTGCTGGCTAATCCAAAACTTCAACATGATTGTCATCAAACCATTTGATTATCTTATTAGCTATATGCTTTGGATCATTATCCTGTTAGAAAATAACATTATTTACAGTTAAATCACATGTGCTAAGAGTTTCAAGAAACTCATCTTTCAAAATGTCTCGATATAAGTCTTCATTCATTCTTCCATCAATTTTATAGTATAATCCCATATTAAATGCATCTATACAACCCCATATTATCATAGAACTCCCACTAAACTTAACAGTTGGTTTAATATATTGTGGTTGCAAGGTAAATTTGAATTCTTCCAACACCATTCCCTACCATCTGAATCAAAAATCATAAATTTACTTTCATTTGACCACACCACCCTTTTCTAATCTTCTATAGTCTAATCACAGTACTTTTTAGTAAACTTCTTTCGAGCAATTCTATGTTTCTTTAAGAGCAATAGTTTTTTTAACTCTAGCTACAAGACCTTCCCTTTTTAATGAGCACTGAATTATATTTGAAGATATATTAATATTTTCATTAGAAATTAAACTTTTTTGGATTTGAATAGCATTAGAACATTTATTTGACTTTATAAGTTTTACAATATTTCTATCATGACATTCTGTAAGAATTCTAGGGTAGCCTAGTTTTGGAATAACATCAAGACTACCAGTTTTTTCTTTCCTTTGTTTGATTCTTATTACAGAAAAATGATTAACTTTTTCACGAAAAGCTACTGAACGACTTGAATATCCCTCCTGAAGAAGAGTAATGATACGTTCCTATTGATAATATGGTATTGCTTTCATTATAAAGCAAAAAAATTCTGTGAGAAAGTAATACAAAGTGATTACAAATTGGATTTATTTATATTTATTAAATCGCATCTCACAAGCATCAGTTGATCATTTTTTAATTTAGTGCCATAAATATTATTCTACAAAAAAATACACAACTTAAAAATTTTGTAAAAAGCCACAAATTAAATGCTAATCAAGTTTTATATTTATTAAAATAAAGTTACAGCTTTAAAGTTAGTTAAATTTTAAAATTAGACAATCACTTCAATTTTGCAGAATTACAATTTAAAAAATTAAACAGGGTAGTGCAATAATTATAGAAGTCACTATATAAAAAGATAATTTTACATAAGAAACTATAAATTTTAATTTAAATTGTATATACTATTCAAATATGAATTTTTTAGGTAAAAATTTTTATTTTTCTTCCTTTTTTATTGTTTTTTTTTAGTTTAAAAATAAAATAAGTAAATTGATAATTTTTTTGATAGATATTTATTTTTTTTTTTTTTGAAGAAAATTATTATTTTAAAATTAATATAAGTAAACCAAAAGTAAATTTTTGTATATTTTTTCTTTATTTTTTTAGGAATACATTATATTATGATAAGTTAATTGAAGAAGATTTTAGGTGAAATTTTTAACTTATTCTACTTTATTTTTTTTTTAAAAATATTTCGTATGTAAGTTAATTAAAAGTGATATTTAGGATGGATTTTTTAATTATTTCCTTTTTTTTTTAAAAAAAAAATCAAATTTTTTTCCTTGAATAGTATATATATTACAAAGTATTTATTTATATTTAAGAAATTTGAATTTTAATAAATATGTAAAAATAATAAAATTATAAATTTAATAAATTTACATAATATTAGATTATAAAATTATTTTTATTAGTCTAAAAATTAAAAGTAACAATTTAATTAATATAATAAATACAATAAATTTTTTTTTAAATTTTAAATATTATATTACAAATACGAAATTCCTTAAGGATTATCGATTCCATATTTAGAAATCATTTCAACAAGGTCATTGATTATTAACGTTAATTTGCATTTAATAAGCAGAATGATTAATTAAAGGTCGAATTAATAATGACAAAATGATTTACTTGAATTAGATGACTTGGAATTAAATATAAATAAGCATTTTTTCCAATAAATTGTAAATAAAAAAAAAAAATCAAATTATTAAAAATGACTACTACCAAGATGCCCTGTTATTATATTTCTCACGGAGGTAAAAATAACGTTACCTTGTAGATCACCAATTAATTGAATTATTAAATCGGTCCGCATTTTTCTTGATTAAGGTCCAACGCTTGTGATTGACAAGGAGGATGAATCTTATCAATGGTTCCAACAATGGGGAAAATCCATTATCAAAGAAATTAAACCAAAAGCCATAGTTGTTCTTTCTGCTCATTGGGAAACCAATGACGCTATCAGAGTATCCAACTTTCCAGGCAAAACTCCCATCATTTATGATTTTTATGGATTCCCAAAGATACTTTATGAACAAACATATGATGGTAAAGGTTCTCCAGAATTAGCAAAGAAAATCGTGGATTTATTAAATCAGGTGCGTAATAATGATCGAAAGTACTTTATCACTTTATATTCTCACAATTTTGCTAAATTAATTCAGGCTGGTTTCAAATCCGAATTGGATGATAAGAGAGGTTTCGACCATGGGTGTTGGATACCATTAAAATTGGCGATCCCGGAACCAGGCGATTTGCCTATTATACAAGTATCTCTTACTCGTAAAGCTTCATATAAACATCACATTAAAGTTGGTCAAGTATTGGCTTCTCTTAGGTAAGTTTTAAAAAAATTCTCTGATTCTAAAAAACCTATTTAATTTTTTTCTTTTCCCTTTTTCGACTTGAAAGGAATGAAGGAATTATGATTATTGGATCTGGATCATTAGTTCATAACTTGAAAGAGACATTCGCTACGTTAGATAAAAAAGACTTTGTAGCTCCATATGTGGAACCATTTGAGTTGGATGTTGAAAAATTTTGTACCAAATTTACTGGGAAAGAACGTGATCAAAAGTTGATAGATTTAATTAATCATCCTTTATTGAGACAAGCTCATCCGACCGATGATCATTTGGTTCCTTTACATATTGCAGTAGGCGCTGCTGGAGATGATCAAGGAACCAAGTTGCACACAAAATGTTTCGCTGCTTTAAGTATGAGTGCTATTGGTTTTGGTGTTGCTAATTAATTATGTATTTTCCTCTATTTTTTTTTTGTTGTTCCGTAACTACAAATTCATTTATTCAAATTCATCATCATATTATACTTATCAAAGTAATAAAAATAAAAAATGGTTATTTTTTGATTACAAAATTTAAAATTGAAATAGGTTAAAAATTAATATTAATCATTCTAAGTTGTACACGCCACATTGAGAAAATGAAGACTGAGCCACACGTCCGTTGGACTAATCTAATGATGATCACCGTCGCGTTTTTTTTAAAATTCATAGCAACTTGTATAAGGGTTTACCACGAGTAAAAATGACCACTAGCTTAAGAGCAAACATAGCAATAACAGATCTTCCATGGTAATCTAATGTTATAAATAACGCGTTTTTTTTATAACATTTTTATTTAACAATATATATGGTAAATAGGCTCCAAAAATATCGTCCAACAGTGTTTGACGATCTAGTTGGAAATGAATCTTCAATAAATATATTGAAGAACGTTGCCAAAAGGAGAAACATACCAAACTTCTTATTATCAGGACCTCCTGGTACTGGTAAGACTAGTAGCATTGTTTGTCTTGCTAATGAATTATATGGAAAAGACTTAGCCAAAAAAGCTATCTTAGAACTTAATGCATCTGATGAGAGGTAGTGTAAAAGTAAATGTAACATAAACCTTTAATTACTTGGGGGTTTTTTTTCCTTTTTAATGAATTATTCTTGCAAAAAAAAAAGTCAACTACAAAGTATTTTGCTAAAAATTGTTTTATTTATTACGCGAAATCCATTATTATAGATCTGTTAGTGTCATTCGAGAAAAGGTTAAGGCATTCGCTCAAACAAAAGTCACACTTCCTTCCGGATTACAAAAATTTATAATTCTGGATGAAGTTGATAGTATGACGGATGCGGCACAAAAAGCTCTTCGAGCAATTATGGAGCATTATGCTGACACAACGAGATTCGCTTTAGCATGTAATAACGAAGATAAAATTGATGAAGCAATTATGAGCAGAGTAACGAAATTATCTTTTTCAAACTTATCAGAAGAAGAAGTTGCCAAACGGCTTTTATATATAGTAGAAAAAGAAGATGTTAAATATAATCCTGAAGGTTTACACGCAATCATATTCACGGCAGATGGAGATATGAGACAAGCTATTAATAACCTACAATCTACTTACTCAGGATTTGGCATGGTCAATGAAGATAACGTTTACAAGGTGTGTGATGTACCGGATCCTAAATATATACTGGAAATGCTTAAACGTTGCATACGTTATGAAGTGAGAAATGTTTTTAATGCTGTAAGTAAATTATGTGGTGAAGGTTATTCTTCCTTGGATATCGTTCAAACCATGTTGAAACTTATGAAATCTGCTACTGAGGAAGATGTCGAAGAAGATTATTATAATGAATATTTGATGGAAATTTCCAGAACAGAGCTAATTATCAAATCTGGAACTGACAGTGAACTTCAGGTTATTGGTTTAGTAGCTTCTTTATGTGACATCGCTAAATCTATCTCAAAGAGAAATATGAGCTAAACGGTGATCATTTGATGAAAATAATTGTCAATTTTCAATTGAATAAATTCTTTAAAACTCAATTTTACAAGTTTAAACTTCAGGGTTTAAATCAGAAGTGGATTACCATTCATGGTTTATAAAAAATGTCTTTTGCTTTATTAGTTTTCACTCTTCGAATTAGTAAAAAGATTTTTAAGAAAAAATTGATGCATGTTTTGGATTGGATTGGATTTTTATATCAATCGTGGGGTATACTTTGGATGAAAAAATTAATAGTAAAATATTCCAACTCCAATGAATTTTACACCCAGTCGTTTAGAATAGCCGCTCCATGTGTTGATAAAAAAAATAATATTAACACATGACTTCTGATGCAAGCATTTCAGCAAACGTTTCAAATTTGAAAACAGATGGTTTAAAAAATTTACCTGAAAATTTTATTAAGATGTCTAATTTGTACTTTAATTAGGGTATAGATAATTCAATACGAATTTAATTCATTTAGTAGATTCATTTAAAAGTTTTAATCGAAATTCGATTTATATTATGATCCGCATTCAAATTTGAATTTGTCTACAAATTGTTAACGAATTCAATATTCTATTAATTTTCCAAAAATATTTAAATTTGCAATTTACTTTTCAGTTATAAGAGAGACTTTTATATGTAAATTTTGAATCTTAAAGTAATGCACCGGTATAACAGTTTATTTATTTATAAATCAAAGCTTTTTTTATTAAATTTATATGATGCTTTCTTGTATAATTTTAAAATCCAATTAAATCCCATCATTTTATAAATCGGGTACCCGGGTCAAATTAAATAATATTAAAAGTTTACGTTTTAAGTTTATATAACTTAGCATGCTATAAAATGAGCTTTATTATTAAATGTAACTTATATATTATCATTGTCTGAATAGTTGAAAGCTAATTGTTAGTGAATTTGGTAAAGAATTGAAAATTAAATAAAAAAGAATGTCTGTAGACAAATGAATGTCTTCCATAATTTAAATTTTAAACAAATTAAAAAAAGAGTCGATATTTCGATAAACAATTCAATTGATTTTACTTTCTTAAAATCATCGGGCATCCAGGAATCTGCTTTTTTATTAAGACAATCGGGTATCCGGGTTGTCAAATCTGGAATCGTTTTCCACCGCGCGTCAAATTTTACAAAAATTAACTGGCGTTATTTTTTGACCAATTAGATCATCAGGGAGAAACTCCATCATGCTGTAAAATTTCGAATATAGAAATATTGCTCGTGTTAAAATTACACAAAAATTTCAATAAATACAACTAATCTCGTATCTGACGCGTCCAAAAATCTTTGAAAAAAAATTACACCTTATAATTTTTCGATATAAGTTTTTAAAGAACCTACATTTCTATAATAACAATCTTCTTTTATAATTTCATAATGTCTCGCCAAATTACCAGTAATATTAGCTTACCATCTCACTCTAGAGTTTCTAACACTAGAGTTTCTATGGGCAGTAGTTCTGTTCTACCAAAGACACCAAGTTCTTTGCGTAGAGATACGCGTCAAGTTCCTGTTCTTGAACCTAAACAGCGGTTCATTATTAATAAGATTATATTGTATAATTTTAAATCTTATTGTGGTAAAATAGAAATCGGACCACTTCATAAGGTATAATATATATTTTGCTTTGTTGGGGATTTGCTGCGCACGAGATTCACTCTAATCTTAAAAATTTTAATTTCAAGTCATTTTCCGCGATTGTCGGACCAAATGGCTCTGGAAAATCCAATGTCATAGACGCGCTTTTATTTGTATTTGGATATCGTGCAAATAAAATGAGACAAGGAAGATTAGCGGAACTTATTCATTCATCACAAGGATGTGAAAACCTTGATTCTTGTAATGTGGATGTGCATTTTGAAGAAATCCTTGATACGGTAAATGATTGAAGTTTTAATTTCCCAAAATACAAAAAAATTAATCACATAATGTTCAATAATATTATAGCATGATTCAGATGATTATGAGGTTGTGCCTCAATCTCAATTAGTTATCTCGCGTCAAGCTTTTCGCAATAATGCAAGCAAGTATTTCATTAATGGACGTCAAAGCAATTACACTGAAGTTACAAGTCTTTTGAAAGAAAAAAAGGTCGATTTGGATCATAAACGTTTTCTAATTTTGCAGGTGCCTTTTTATTTATTTATTTTTTTAAAAAAAATTTTTTCTTTATTTTTCGTAATTATTAATGTATTGACATCATCAAAATTTTGTGATTAAATTAATGATTAGGGAGAAATTGAATCAATAGCTCAGATGAAACCCAAAGCACCAAATAAGCATGAAGATGGGCTCTTAGAATTTCTTGAAGACATTATCGGAACTTCTAAATATAAAATCCCACTTGAAGAAGCAAACGAAAAGCTTGAATTATTGGATGAAGAACGTTCAGATAAATTAAATCGCGTTAATCTAGTTGAAAAGGAGAAACAAAGTTTAGAGGTAACATATTAATCAATCGTGGTTGTATTCATATTAAATAACAATTATGATTCTAATCTTATTAATTATAAAGGCCAAGAAAAATGAAGCTGAAGAATTTCTCCGAAATGAAAACACGTTAACTTTGAAGCAGTCTGCCCTGTATCAAAAAGATTTGTTAAATTGTAAGAATAAGATTCAAATATTGATTAAGGCTGTGGTAAGTCATTATATTTAATAATTTTTTCAGACAAGCTAATTTAATATGACGATTAATTTTATTTATGAATTCTTAGAATAAATTAAAAGATCAACTAAAAGAAGAACAAGAAAAGCATGTTCAGATAAAACAAGATAAC